ATGTTTTAAGTTGATGTAATGTTTAATTTTTGTATTTCCTAAGGGGTATTTTCTATTTGCACAGGAAGGTCAGAGGTCATGGATCTGCTATGGAACAGCGCCTCTGGAGCTGGCAGGAGCTCAGCATCACTGTTGTTCAGTGACACATTCATCAGGGTGGACACTTGCTGACATGGAGGATGGATGCCAGGTTTTCTGGGTCAAGGTCAGTCTCCCACTCACCACTGCCAACCTGCAGCCTCGTTTTATTTTGCCAGATGGGGTTGTGTTTGCCTTATAGGACGGTACAATGAGAGAGTCAGACAATCCAAGGAAATCATTTGAGGCTTATCTGCCATAATCTCAATGAATCTCATGTAGAAAAAAACAAACCTTTAGCTGTCCCATTCAGGTTAAAACAAAGACTTTCATCACTTACTGAGGCCGTTTGATCCACGTCTGCGCCACAATCCAACCCTGCATCAAACATATAGAGAGAGGTAATCCTGCTCCTGCAGCCCAGATGTCATCCAGCAGGCAGCGAAAGCTTTACACGACTGGAAAAAAATCACAGTTAACACTAATACACATATATGACACACAATTAGATCACATACATCTCAGACTGCTTTGTCTCCTTCAGATTATCTCCACAGATGTTTGAGTTCAGACTTCAGACGTGTGTTTACTGACAACATGGAAAATATGATGAAACGTGTACATAGAGGTGAAAAAACGAGCTGAATTCAAAAGAAACTTTTATCTTATATGTTTACTTGTGACTTGTTGTGATTTCATAGGTCATACTGGGAGAATGGAATATATAGTGATATGAGGATTTTCCATAAACAGACTGGCTATGACCTCCAGTGGTAAACAGCAGAAGTACATTTGACATAACTGCAAATAGAGAACCACTAGGTGGCGGCACTGGTGCGAGAATGAAATGTTAGGGTGTGAGATTTATTGTCCAAAGGGTAAAGCAGTTCAAAGCCCTGGAAAATAAACACATACTTAAACCCACACACACACAGAGGAACACACTAATTACTGAGTCTCACATGATGAACATACAACCACAGCATGCAGCACAGCTCCCTGGGGCCCGGTTTAAAATGAGTGCTCTCTTCTGTTTGTCTAGTTTTAAACATCAAAGGCAAACAAGATATGTGCACCAGGCTGGAGGATGTTTACACACTATCAATATTTCAAAAGTCCAAAAGTCAAAGATCAGACACTTTGTCCCCGCCACAGCAGGATATTTGTCTCAACGGCCGCTGGTCTGTGTGAATCCTCTATGCATCTACATACTGCAGGTACACAACAGCTGTGCAGTAGTCTGTGTTTGTCTAAATCACTTTAATTGATATAAAATGAGAAGGAGAGGAGCAACATCACATGAAAGAGCAAGTTTCAGTGTTATTACTCACAAAGTTTCAAGTGAAACTGCAGTGAGCGGCTATCAAAACATCTATCTGGAGTGAAAGTGTAATCTCCGAAACACTTGTGACACTCAGTTGTTGTGAGTAAGCGTGTGTGTATGCGTGTGTGACTGAGAATGTTGTTGTCAAGCTGATTGTCCAGGTGACGTGTCAGAAGGATACAACTACCTGGGTGTGTCTGCACCCTCCCTGGTGGCTACAGCTCTGATTTCCTTCTCCTATTACTTCCTCTTGCGTAAACAGAATGCCACAGGGCATCTTTGAATGTTCTTGTTTTGAAAAAGCTGCCTTTGTATTGATTGTGTCGGCCGCTGTCAGGAAAAATCTGACAAAATTTGCTGCTGTTTAACTGGAAAAGAAAACGCCAAAAGGTTTGTCCTGTTGCTTACGTTACAATTTAAACAATGAGCTTTAAAAGCCAGATGGCCAATTCAGTAGTAATTTTAATCTCCTATAATTAACCCAGTATTTCGGGGGGGGTTCCCAGAACAAAGCTTATAATTCTCCGCTGGTTTATCTGGTTTATCTGCAGCCTGTCTGACTTTGACAGGCATGTGTCTTGTCTGAGGAAACAGTGACATACAGACAGACAGTAAGCTGGTCAGGAGGTATGGAGCAAGCAGATAAAGGGTTGATTGATATGGAAGTGTGGTGTGTGTGACAGCAGAAGCGCGTGGCTTTTTCTGGTGTCAAACCGGTCCGGGAGGAGGCAAAATGCTGGTTGTTTGCCTGAACCAGCAACAGTGTCTGTTTGTTTTGGGGAAAGAAAAGTGCAGTGTGACACATTTTGCTTTGTCAGTTTAACAGACAGGCTTTCCATAGTGGTGACATCCACAAGCCAACAAGCTCTGCACATAGACATGACAGTGTACTCTGAACACCATCAGTGTTTTCATTCAATCTACACACTGAATGAATACAAACTTTTGGTTTTGTTTATCCATTTTTTGGACGTGAGACAACAGTGAAGGACTTAAAGACGACACTGTGTCGCGCTTGTCCCAGCAGCTTTAGCGGTACCGTACTTCACCAAGGCTCCAGATCCTCTTAATTTGTCCAGACTGTCAAAACCCTAATACCACATCTCTGTCTGTGTGATATTTCCAACATCACATGGGCAGCAAAGATTCAGGCATCACATGGAGAGTCGGGTGGAGGCTTGATGGGTAAATGGTGGTGGTGGTGGTGGTGGTGGTTGGGGGGGTTGGAAATTAACCTTTAGACATGAAACATTACACATGAAACAGTGAGAGCATTCAGCAGTTTTGCTCAATAATGGGCAGATAATCATGAGGAAGCTGTTTGCCTGTTCCTCAGTTTTAATGAGCAACACTGTCTTTGCCTCCTGACCCTTATGACATTTGCTGTGACTGTTATTAAATCAGGACACACACACTCTTATAGGTGTGTCTTTTCATTCCTGTTGTTTATCAAACTCTCTCGGACAAACACGAAAGCGCCGCTGCTGACGTGCAAATGAGAATTGAGAACAACTAATAAACAAAACAAAGAAGAGCAGCGATAATAGAGCCAACAAAAGGAAGAACAAGAGGAGTGGGAACTATCAGCCACACAGATATAATTCCTACACCTCCCAACACTTTCTACTCTGTCTCGCTGAAGGTTACCTTGATATATGATTAATGTCTAGAAGCTAAAATCTATTTTTTATCCTCATCTGTCACTGAGGGCCCTTTCATCTGTCTCCCCTGGGATGATATTTATCAAAAATCTACAGCTTGGATTCACAAGGAAGAAAAAAAGAAAAGATGTGAAGTGATTTTTCTCTGAGATGTAAATCTAGTCCAGGAATAGAACAGATGTTTTAATCCCCGATTAAGTTACCTGACAGGATATTTCTGAGATTCACAAAGAGCACAGGCAGTTGAATCACATTCAGTGTGTCTGAGCAACAATAAAACTGTGCAACTCGAACCGATAAGAGACAGCTATAAGCTTAATAATGATTATAATCATTAAAGTTATAGTGTCCAGTACTTATATGATAATGATTTTGCCTTTTATAAGCAATGTTACTGTTGATTGTAAAGTATAAAGAATGTTTGTACAAGTGTCCATTTAAATGAACTCTGTTACTGTTTTTGTTTTTTATAGCTACTTATTTTTTTAATGCAGTATTTTGTCAAGACTATGTTTCATTATATGCAATGAAATATATGTATATAGGTATAATGACAATTAATATGTGAGAGTGAATTCAAGAGACTTGAACCAAATGAGCTTTGGGGATGTTTTGCCCAAAATGTAACCACCCAGGCAGAGTTTTATCTCACCTCCTTCACCTTATCCCCACCCAAATCTAATCTTCACTGGCTAAAACCTAAATAATGGCATTGGTACAGATTGATGGAAACAGTTAGGGTATCTCAGATACCAATCTTTGGGAAGAGATTCATCAATTCAAGGAAAAGATTTAACAAACCCCACAAGATAAGGCCAATCTATAACAAGGATTCCCAACCATTTTGTGTCTTCTTGCAACTCTTTATCACTGATTGCATTTGTCTGCCAAACCTGTTCGCCCGAAGAGCAGATATTTTCCCTGTTTCATTTGAATATATTTCTGAAGCCTGAAGAGGTAAAATTATCCATCAATTCACAAAACAACCGGACTAAGAGGGAGGCTGTGCAGCAGTGCTACCATCTTAGTTTAGCATGCTAATATTTGTAATAAGCACTACACTCAAAGTACACCTGATGGGAATGATGGGAAAATCTCATCAGCGCACCAGCGTTTTATTTAATCTACACATTTAAGTGAATGAAATGTAAATATTCAAATCTGCCACTCATGAGGCAGAACAAGCTCTTCCTGCTGACCCTGATTAAACCGAGGCAGTGTTACGTAAATAACACACAACCCGTGACAGTTTGTTAATCTCATGTCAAGGTGTAGGCACTGCAGGCATCTGGCACTATTACAAATCACCCTTTGGCTGTGCTTCTCTGTGCGTGGCTGTCCTATTTATGGGTGTTTTGTCGTGCTGCTGATAATATAAGCAGCGAGTTATTGTTTGAAAGCTGGGTGTTGCCCTGTCACCCAGGAACACGAGAAAAGGTCATGTGGATGATGGAAAAATCTGTAAGTCTTACGTACAGTGACTGTGGCATTTGTGAAAGATCAGTTCAAAAGGCTCGGATTCAAAGTAAGAATGGTTGCTCTTTTGAAAAAGCTGCATTGATTGAGGTGACATTTTCTTCTTTAATGCCTCCACAGGACACAGCACGTCTGCTGTATGTTTGGGTTTTGTCAACACCGTCCTGTTGGATCTGAACCAGTCCTGGCACATCAACCTCCCAGCAACATTTTCCATACCAGTCTGTGCCGTGCTGCAGGAACTCGGGCCTGCTTCCAGTAACAATGCAGACGCCTCCTTTTTCCTGACTGTTTGACAATATTTACCACCTGATACAGCTCGCTCTGCCTCCTCTTATAACACGCCACAGCTCTGCTCCAATAACTTCACAGGGGGAAGAGCCTGTTTCATCTAGCTATCGTTGTGAAATGTGAGAGGCAAACTGTAAATATACACAAGCAATGATGAGGAGAGGAAGAGGTTGAAGTACAAAGTTTTATTTTAAAGACTGAAATGTGAAGGAACCCACTTCCCTGTTATTTTTTGTGTTAGCAGAGTAAAAGAATTTTGATTTGCTGTGGGCACAAGCATGGTGTAACATGCAAATAGAGATCAAAACTAACATGTGGACATTACAGTGCCAGAAAAGCTGAATGGTACCTAATTAATAGGTTATAATGAATAGGTGAATCGGTGTATTTTACTGTATATCCCATTAGTAGGTTATAAATATTAAATTCTGTGGTGCTGGAAAAGCCTCCGCATGCTTTTGGTTACAGTTTGCTTCTATTTATCACATTGTGTGCAACACAGGCAAATTGTGACCCTCCTATTGGACAGATAGGTGTCTCACAAGTGGCACTTAAACAGCAATATTGACAATAAGTTCCAAAACACAATGTACAAAATTACAAAATAAATATGCCTCTCTTTTTTTCTTTTTTTTTTTTTTTTAAATCCTTTTCTACTGGTTGTGCAATAAAATAGGCTTACAAAGCAAAACATAAACCTTGGCACTTTTCATTAATATCAAGATGAGTCATCCTTGTTATTTCCTTAACTTGAAGAAAAAATAGTGTTGAAACATAAGTCATGCAGCAAGTGTGAGAAAAAGGTCGTATATATACGTCGAGTTTTGGTCTAACAGGTTTGCATCAAACAGAAGCAAGGATGCTGTCTGCACACAAAGGGGCCGCTGTCTGAAGAACAAACGCTGCTCGGTGAGTCACTGCAGCCAACACTTTTCATTCCAGTTGTGAGGAAGCAGAGCTGCGCCGTAGGTGCAGAGACTCTCATGCCGTAGCCCTTATCCAGCCTCTCTTTCTCCTCTGGCGTCGCTGTCCACTAACGATGGTGAATCTAATTTCACTGCTCATTAGAAGAACATCTTCGCAGCCAGTCCTACCATCTGACGCTAGTTGGGAGATGGGTGTCCCCGGGAACGAAATTAAGAGAGGTTCAAACTGACCTGTGCTAATCAGACCTGCAAATGAGAGCGAGAAAGAGAGCGAGAGCGAGAGAGAGAGAGAGAGAGAGAGAGAGAGAGAGAGAGAGAGAGAGAGAGAGAGTGAGGGGGGAAAAAAATATTCAGGCACAGGTGTCAGCAATGTATCTACATTGTAGCCTCGCTTTTGGATGTTACTTTAAAAGCAGTCACACCATCAGACCTGACTATGACCTGCGCTAGACTCAGACACAGCTCAAAGTATTTCCATATTAGCAACGCTCATTAGAAGTATTTTTGCAGGAATATGGAGTGAAAACCTGACAATTAAAACCCCTGCTGTTGTGCTCGCCATGTCTTGTGGTTTGCAATGGGGTCAAAGGGCTTTAATGAAGGCTTTTAACGTGTGAAGTGTACAGCTACGTCCTTCTCCTTTCATGTCTTTGATCAGTGCCACTGAGCGGAAAGCTTAGCTCGACGGCAGCAGCACGTACAGCCCAGCATCTCAAACTCTGACATCACAGGCTGGTTAGATTCGATCAAATGTCCGATTACACAAGCGTACCATAGGATCATGTATGGAAATGTATGATAGCTCGGCTTCATGTGCCTATAAGCATATGGTGTACACTTGAGTTTGGATGTATAGTAATAATTTACAACATCCTGAGTTTTGATGGAATGAGAAAATAATTGGGAGCTCGAGAGTGTTAGGTAGTTTAATCTCTGGGGAGATCTCTAACTCGCTGTCTCTTCTCCCCCTCTTTCTGCAATAAGGTCAGACGTGTCATAAGACGAGTGTTTAATTAATGCTGCCCTCTGACAGAAGAACAACAGTGAGCTGCAGCAAGGGCAAGAGTAAATAAAACAGATGGAGTGTGAGATGGAATGAGATAATGACCATACTATGATCAATAGATAATTTAAGTTGTTTTTCATGCAAAAATGCCAAATATTCTCTGGTTCCAGCTTCTCATTTGTGAGGATATTCTGCTTTTCTCTGGTTTTATTTCATTGTAAATGAAATATGTTTTAAGTTTTGGACTGTTGGTCAGACAAAACAAGCCACTCTTAACACGTGAACTTGGACTATGAGAAACTAGGATGGACATTTTGAAACATTTTACAGCCTGAGATAAGAATTTGCATATTAATCCATAAGCATGAAGTTCCTCTGCAACGACGATTACAAGAAAATGAGGCCTTGCTGTTTTAATGTCTGCTGTGGTTGGGTTGCTCTCACGAATGAATTCTGTTGTCAGGCGGTTAATTTGTCTGAGTGAGTCAGGCTATAGCAGATGTTTTAATTTGGGCATGACTGAACCTAAACTTATCCACAAATTATAAACAACCCAGCAGTCAGACAAACACACCGTTAGAATGCGAGTAGTAACAGTGATAACAGTGCGCTGTCAGTGTTCTGTATGTATCCAGTCTTTAAAACACTGATGCACTCCCCCTGCACTCTTAACTCCATGATCCATTTCTTTAAGTGCTTGTTTGGCGAAGTGCCTGTGTAGGAGATGTGTTGGTAAGATATAAAAACTATTCACCTTGGAAACATTTTCCTGCCCCTCACAGTCAGTCATCCTGTATTATGGTCTCACGCACGGTGTCACTCAGCAGTGGATTCAGGCTCAGTTGAGAGACAATCAATGTTTCCCTTTTAATCCGCTTGTGTCAAACAAGGTCCAGTGGACGCAGCCATGATCTTCACCGCTGCAGCTCTTCACACTGAGAAACAGCCAATCAAAAAGCTCCGCTGGTTGCAGTGCCAAATTCCATAGTAGTGTCCAATAAGTTTTCAAAAGCGCTTTAAAACTGGTAAAGTGCATTAAATTAATACTGTCATATTTTCATCAGGTTCTCTTTTAAAATCTGGTGAAATAATCACTATTTAATATTTCTTCAATAAAGTAAAAGATAAATAACATTATTTCCTTGTTTATTCATTAATATTGTATGAATTTCATATATGATATGAACCCTTCACTGTTTATGTTAATTCATGTTTAATGGCCAGTTGTGTCTTATTTGTAGACATAAGGCTTCAACAGCTTCAACCATTCAGGATGGATTGAGTGAACCTCAACTGTGACTTTCATTAGGGTTCTACATACGTTGATGCTTATTGTGGCAGTATAACGTTTTGATACCACCATATTAATGATTGTTTAATTTTATTTTTTATAAAATAATATGTGACTCATTAATAATTACATAACATACATTATGTCATTAATAATAAAACCATGCAATAAGTTAATAAATCTTCAATTTGGCTAATGATTTACTCCAAATCTTGGTTAATAGTAATATTAAATAACGATTAGTTCACCATTTCTCAGGGATGGCTGGTGTAAAGTGTTACTGTATATTATTTTGTGTTTGTAAAGTCAGTGAAAACCAAATTCCCGTGCTCATCACATCCATTCCCTCAATATTTAAAATGTGTGAATGTTGTGTTTTAAAAATGCATAGGCCATCTGTGCACTTGTCAGTGCAAACAAACTTTGGCTAGCTGCCCTCTAGTTTGAACGGAGCCAAATATGGCCACCCCATAGCAGAAGTCTTCACATGTATTTATATTCCCACAGGGCTCTGCTCCTCTTTGGAAGTCTGTGTATCTGAGCGTTGTGCATCAGAGCTCTTTCTGTGACTCAGATATCAGCCCTGATACAAGGATCAGACTACAGGTTGACTGCACATGTCCATCTGGGCAGTATTGAGGTGAGGTAGATCATATTTTTCTTTCCATTTCATGCTCGGTCCTTCACTGGAAACCTGTGTTGGGAAATTTGGGAATTAAGGTTGACAAAAAGCCCAAAGGTTCAAAAAAGCAGGGATGTCTCAATGTGGAATAAGTAAAGACTGTAGATAAGACTCTCTCATTCCTTTAGTGCGCAACAACAATGAGTCATATGAGAGGCATTTTCAGCACCGGGTAAAAACACAGCAGCTCTCCCACCACAGGGGGAGTTACATCTCTCTATACAGAGCTCTCGTCCGGCCTGGGCAGCAGCTGAGTGTGTTTCCTCTTCTCTAAGATCCTGTTGAGCTCCTCAGCAAAGGAGTAGCAGAGCGGTGACGTGCTTTCAGATTCGCTCTGCCTCAGCAGCACGTAGCTGTTCCCGTTCATCCTCCGCAGGACGCTGGGCAGCGTGGCCGACAGCCCGTTGGGGAAGTCGCACTCTGGAGAGGGAAGTTGCGGCGTGGGAGGGAGAGGAGGGGCAGGGGGAGGAGGCTCCTTATTGGGTGACGGGTGACCCTCGCCGGGGACGATCTGGAGGAAGCCTCCGTCCTGTATGTCGCCGTTATGTTGCTTTGAAACTCCATTGCAAATGCCGTTGCCGTTACAGTGGCTTGAGATGGTCTTCAGCTCCATGTGAGAGGAGCTTCTGTGCTGTTTCTTGTTCCTGTTGTGCTTCTTACTGTTCGGGTAGGCAGCAGCCGCCGCACGTAGTGAGTACTTCCCTCTGTGGCCCACACGCAGGCAGAAGCCCACATAGACAAGGACCACGGTGAGGACCACACACAGGCCTCCGAGGATGGTGATGAGGGACAGGTACATGGCCTCCATGTTCCTGGGGGAGAGCAGCTCTGAGTGGGGGAGGAGAGGAGCTGGGGGTGGTGGCAGGGGCCTCTCGGAGGATGGATGCTCTGTGGGTGCTGGCGGGGTGGCGAAGAGATCATAAGGCTCTTCGGTTGGCTCAACAGGCGGGGGAGGGGGCAGGTCCAGGCGGATGGTGACATTGAACGTAACGATGGCGACCTTGATATTGTTCTCAACAGCGTAGCAGGTGTACAGCCCGCTCTGGTCCTGCCGGGCCTCGATGACCAGCAGGCCGTCTGTGCCGGTTCTGAAGCCAGAGTTGAGGCCGTAACCCTGCAGCTCGCTGCCGTCCAGAGTCCAGAGGGGGGTCGCCAGGTTGGAGCTGAGCTCACACTGTAGCAGCACGTCATCACCCACCCGCACAGAGCGGCTCCGCTGGACAACATCTGAGGGACACATATTAATACGGTGAGAAAGTCTGATTTCACATGAGGTTTAGAAGAAAACTCACAACTTAGACTCTGATTCATTTTATATGTTAATTGCTTAACACCTCCTAAATTTATCAAAGGCTGTCCAAAGTAATTAATGAAGCATAAACTCCCATTACAAATCTCTTAATTCCAGCCATCATATTACCTTGTACAGCGAGAGAACAACGAGGGGGCAGAAGATGCTACATTTTATCAGCCTGAAACTGTGAAGTGAGAGAAGGCAGTTGCCTGCCTTGAATATCAAACAGATTTCTCTCCAGAGATGGTAAAAATGTGATTAAAGAAGGGAGGAGAGAATTTTGCCAACACAGTGTGCATAATCAACTTTCAAAGACGCCTTCGTGCCATCTCATGACACCTATGCATCGTTCGAGTCCTTCCTAACATTCTCTATTTTTAATATTCCTTTCATCATTCACTGTGCTAAAAGTAAACTTTGTTTTTTAGGCAGTAGCACCTAGCAGCAGATGAGATTCATGCGTACCATCTTGTGTGTTCTCACATCCCCTGCTGCCATGCTGGATGTCCTGGATTAAAGTGGATCTGTGGAGAGGGAGAAAACATAATAAGAATATTAGTGCAAAGAATAAACATTTGTTGTTTTTCCTATTTCTATTTTACGCTGTGTTCTGATCTATTCATATATCTCATGTCATTTATTCCTTACATAATGGCTTTCTACTGCGACAGCATTGCTGCACAGGTTAATCAGTACACTTTAAGTACACACCTGCATGCTGCGTTTACTATCACAGCCAACATTATGCAACAGTTCTGGGAGCTGACACTGTGACAGGGCTCCATGACACTTGAGGGTTACTCAAATCAAACACACAAAAGGGCACCTGTAGCACTTTAATCACATGATCGAATCTCACACAGACACACACATGCACCCTACAGCGCCCACCTGTCCACGTGTGACATTATGTTCACGCACTGGGCTCCATTCCAGGCACAGTGAGGGTCCCTGGCAAAGATGCAGTCATAGCAGGAAGTGTATCTGTGGCAGTTAGAGAGTGGCAGCTGCACCACGCCTGATGGAGAGCCCACATACACACTCATCTGGAGGAAGAGAGAAGATTTGAATACCCTAGGATGGAGATTACTCACACGTGTGTATGCATGTGGTGGTCAAACACGCTACCTGTTTTGCAGATATCAGTAGATTCTTAACAGGCTGTGGTTCCTCAAAGAGTTGCAGCTCCTCGATAATGTGCAGTTGACCCTCGACCTCTACAGCTTTGTGTAACCAGCCTTCATCTGAGTTAAACCAACAAAGAGGAGAAACATGGATCTAAAATGCATTTTTGTCGGCCCATCAAAACACATCACTCTGTTTTAGCTTGATTTCCCACTGTTTGGGCAGTCATTGATTTTTATTCACATCAGTATGCAATCTGAATTAACTTGCAAACACTTGAAACTGACTGAATATAGTTAATTCCCTTTATTGCCTTGGTTCAGGCATTTAAGATGTGGAATACATTTTAATACAAGAAACCTATTCATGTTGTTTATATTGCAATTTTTTTCCTCCTGGTTTTGACTTTCTGAAAACTTGCAAAGCACTGCTTTTTGGCAACTGACTCTAAAATCTCCTTGAATACAACAATACAACAACCCAATAAGAATTTGATGGAAACAAATAACAGTGACACAATGATGGGCTGCCATAGTGAAATGAATGGAAGACAAATAATATGTCCACAAATACATGCGACTAGTAATCAACATTCAACAACAATAACAGAACTCCAGCAAGTCACAGCATTCAGACAAGAAACAGTCCAAGACAATTAATACCTGACATGAATTCATACACACCTGTGCCCATGTACAATACATGGTATTTTTGTCCATCTAAGCCTTGGATCATGTGTACAGCCATGTGTGTGTAGTCAGTGGTCCTTCTGAACAAAAGGGGGCGCCTGTCTGAAGGTTGGACGTGCTGGGACATCAGAGGATGCCGCCTGACAAAGTTCAGCACATCATCAGGAAGGGAGGTGGAGACGTTTATGCCCTTGGCCCTCAGAGCGTCAGTTATACACTGCAGGAAAAGAAGCCAAGCAGAGGGATGATGAGCAAGTATCACAGCATGATATGGGCTACAGGAGAAAGAGGGAGACGTTTTTGGTTCATTTGTAATAAAGTTCCTATATATAGGAACAGATAGTGGAAGGGAGAGAAGATGTCATGAGGCTTAGTGAAATGGTCTGCAGGGAAAATTACAGGATCAGGAGGAAAACGCGAGCCTGTGGGAAGACTGTGTCTGGGGAAAACGCAACTTTTCACTTAGACAACAATGAGCCTGTGTGAGCCCAGCAGCCAGTTTGTGCTGACATGTGGCCGACTCAGCTCTCTCTGCACCTGACTAAGGGAACAACTTCCCTTCTCTCTTTATGCCATCCAAATGACTTGAGCCAACTCCTCTAAGAGGCTTTCACGCTCCCAAGTTTAAACCTTTGACCATTCCTCCTTTTCATTTAATAGCAAAGTTAAAATTAAGTCCTACAAAGTGTTGAAGTGACACTGCAGTGGATAATGTCTGCTCCTGCTAACGATGCCACGGCCCTGGCTGCCACACTAAGCCACCGTCTCCAAAGCTACGGGCTGGAGTTAATCGCCATGGAAATGGGTTTCAGTGACATAAGCTGGTTGTGTTTTGAGCCTCATCCTCTAGGCTGCCACTCATCTTCTCTATCGTCTCCCCTCCATCTTTTCCTCGGAGGCTGAAGAAGGAGGAGATGTTTTTTCTGTTTCATCTTGTGCGGTGCCCTCTCTGTGCGCGTGTGTGTATGTGTGTGTTCATGTGTGTTCACCGTTCCAGGTCGTGGGTCAGGGATCTTTCCAGTGTATTCCTTCCACTTAGAGTCAGAGTCCTGGTTCTCCATGTAGGGTCCCTGAAAGGCCTCTTGTACTTCAGACAGAGAGAACCGACACACAGCAGACGCCTTCACATTTTTCCTAAAGACACACACACACACACACACACACACACACACACACACACACACACACACACTCACACACACACACACACACACACACACACACGTGAGAAAGACCAGAGCACAAGCCGCGAACAATAACAGCAGTAAACCCAGTGTTGCCATAGAGACAGCAGTAGAGGTACAGTAGATCAGTGGCTCACCTAGCTGAAACGATGGAAAGAGACATATGGGAGAAACGCATGAGTGGAGGGTGGGGGTTATGAACATTGACAGAGGTTGTAGGAAGCTGATAGGAAATCGTGCATCTCTGTGAAGACTAGGATGGAAGAGGGAGAGAACTACAATGTGGTTCCAGAGAGGTGTGGTTGGAGTGGGAGGTAAGAGACAGGAGAGGTGGAGGTGGAGACAGAGATGCTCAAGATAATCACTGTTTGTTTATGCTTTCTCTGACACAAAACATTTTTGCTTTGGCATAACATTCACTTTTTAACTGATGCGTCCTTGTAGTGAATAGACTCGTTGAAGCGTGGAAACATGTTTCAACCCAGTTTCTACAAAAGGCCATTAAAGTTATAATTGAAAAATTTCCATAAAATTAAACCAGTTGTTGTTACTACTATCTATAGTTGACATTTTTCCTGTAATAACCATACAATACTGCTGATTCAAACATGTCCTACTACTTCACATTAAAAGCATTTACAATGGGCTGGCTTTTATGGTAAAGCAGCCACAGGAAAAGTGTCCAGTCCTTTTTGGCCTGTTTGTCATCAACGGATCATTTTTTACTTTTGCAAGGAAAAGAAAGGGAATAAGAGGAGTGCGTTTGTTTGGTTGCACTGTAAACAGATGTCACCAGTTGCTCTTGTGTTGTAGTTCTGGCAAAGTAGCGGCTCAATGTTTGCTGTAGTATTAAAACTCTCTTGCTGTTACCATGGTAATCACAGGTACTGCTAAATCAACCAGGACTGAAATCTTAGGGATTACAACTTCAGCTTCTTTTAAGTGGATCTACATTTACATCTTTAATTAATATTCTGTCCTCAAACTGCTGCAAATCTCCCCCGCCCAACTTCTTTTTTTTCACATCGTTTGGATAAAAAAAAAAATTCACACTTTGTCTCTCCCCTCTCTTTCATCTCGTTCCTTCTTGTCTTCTTCAACTGTCTCAATATATCGATTGCTGCCTTTCATCTTTGTCTCGCTCATTTACATTTGCATCCTCAAAGCCCCCGTCAGCCGGAGGTCTCGACAACACACAAGTTCCCACTCACCACTCTAGGCCAAAGATGCCGTAGAACAGTGTGTCCTGCGGCGTGTGTCCAGGCATGACGAACACGCTGCGCAGCATGTTGAAGTGGAAGTCATACTCGGGCAAAGAACACATCAGCCTAGCCTTGAGGAAGGACGTCCACCGTTTCTGGAGAGTTAAACGACCTCCTCGGTCCCCCTGGAGGAGACAGGAGAAACAGAGGAGGAGGAGGAGGAGGAGCAGGTAGAAAGGGTCATATTAGGTAAAAGAAAAGAAAAACAGACTGATGGTGGAGCACATGGGAAAGTTAACCTCCTCAAAAGCGCAAAAGATGGCAAGGGGAAACAATAACGGTATGTTCAATAATGTTAACGCCCTGTTGTGATCCACAGGTTTGTAGAGTGTGTGTTTGTCCTCAAGAGGTTGAAAGCACCGACTGTGGAGTGAATATCTTACAGGAGGTGACAGTCTCACGCTCTCTCACTCACACACACACACACACACACACACACACACACACACACACACACCTCAACACCCACTCTCAATCCAAAAAAAGATGCTCTGACAGATTTACAATGGTAAAACTTGACTCAAGGCCACAATTCTTTTGGAAACCCAATGACTGACATCAGCTTGCCCTTTGATTTTCACTTATAAACATATTCAGCCAGTGGCAAATTGAAAATGTCACATATGTCGCCAAAAGGCATTTCGATTGGGATAAAAAAGTAAATATGTTGCCAAACTTTCAGGGAGAGAAGCGGTGAGCTGACTTCACTTTTAGGTGCCACAGGAGAAAACACCAAGGTTATTATACTGTACAGGTGGCTCTCGTGATTCTTAACTCCTTCTTAGGCAGCAGGGAATGTAAATCATTCGCACTTTAGGCAGCAGAGGATGCTAAACATTCTGTCTCTCCCCTGCAGCCATCCATCCCTCTCGCTGTGAGACACACCGACTCTGCAATCCATTCATCAGCAACACAGTCTGCTCCTCTAATCACACTGGGTCCTTGTTACCAATGCATTCCCCCATCTAGCTCCTTCATCTATTATAGTACCCTCCCTCTCACTCCCACTTGCAAAACATTCCCGCATCTCTTTTTAATCTGCTCTCACCTTGCAAACCCGAGCCACCCGTGCCACCCTGCTGTGGCTGTAGGTCGTCGTCTGCTCCTGGCTCCTCTCGGTGAAGAAGAAGTAGATCTTGTCGTCATCGCCATTGCTGGTGCCCAAGCTCTCCCTCACAAGTGCAGAGCCCACAAAGTCTGCCTCTGCACGGGGGAGAACAAGATGCACTGACTCACACTGTGAAGCAACAAAGTCTTTTACAAATAAATGTCAAGTAATTATCCACTGAGAGAGTTTACATCCAGAGACGGAGTCTTATCTAGGTAAGCTGCTTGACATCAGCCTTTGACACCCTGAAACTGGTTATAGTAGCTGCCCTTAACAAAAACAGTTCATAATATTCAACCCGTTTCACCAAAACATAAAATAGTCAGAAATGGAAAAAGGTGCATTATGGCTTTATTATTGCTATCTATAAGTTTTCTCTGCCGGTGAATGTGGTTTCCTGCCGGGAGCAGGTGGTGATTGTCACATGACAAGAGCTTCAGCCACTGTTGTGTTTACAAGACAAGAGGATATAACAAGCCCTCTGAGCAGCACTACTTCTTCAGGGGAGATTGGAGGCTACAGTGAGTCACTATCATAAAAGTGATGAGATGGGCCAGGGCTAGCTGGTTAGCATGCTAACTTCAGTTGAAGAGAAGACGTGACAGAGACAACACTGACAGCTATTGGCAAGTAAAGGAATGAAGTTTGACGCTGAACTTGCACTTGTTTCTTCTAGGCTGGTAAGTAAACAGCTGTTAATGCTATAGGCAATAGCAAAACGTACAAATAGCTCCTTTAACTGAGCGGTTGGCGACCTGCATTATGAGGGGAAAGGTTTGGTTATTACCAAAAACCAAGTTTCAGGAGGGATTTATTAACGAGACTAAGTCTAAAGCCATGCCAGCAGCTCTGTGAGGCTGTACTTAAGCACAGCGGCAAACTGGGACTAAAAACAGGATTGTCTATACAAATAAAACTAAGCTGTACTGCTTCAAGAATAAGTCGAGTAATCAGCCGCAGGTTTAATGACAGTGAAGATAATGCATTATTGATCCACTGAGTACTGCAGATGCTTGCTGATATGGAGGCTTAACCTGGGGTTAGCCGGTTGACGGGGCCAAAGCTCTGACCTCTTGGACCACCCTGCTATCCAAACACATTAAAGGGCTTTTATCATTCCAGGAGATTAACTTACCATTCAACCAGCGAGTGGGGGCATCTTCTGTCTTCAGTGTGGGAGACGGAGAGTTGCGGCGGATATCTGGAAAGCTCCTGAACTCATACTGGGAAGCTGTATACATCTGCTCGTCTGGAGAAAAAAACAATGTATCGGGTCATTCCGTTGTTGAGTGAAGCTCTAGAAATGATTGTTAACTGTTGAAGGGTCTTACCTATGATGAGGGCAGTGTAGCCTGTTGTCGGGCCATAGGGACATTTGTCTCTGCCCTCCTCGGGCTGAGATGACATCACAAACATCTTCTCTTCCTATACAGGACAAAACATTTACGTTATAAGGAAGACATTTATTTAGCATCAAATGTATTTAAGAGCAAGGTCTGTGATTTCTTGTGCATGGACGTACTATGTATGCACAGAGTGGTTTGAAGGCATGAGTCCCACACATGTAGAGATGAGTCGAGTTGAATCTCTGGAGGAAGCGGATGTGGTTGAAACACTCAGTCTGGAAGAGAAAGAAGGAAAAACATTTTACAGTGAGGGAGCGATTATGAATCCAGGAGAGAACCAAACGCAAAAAGATGAAACAGAAACACTGAGGGAGAAAGAAAAACAAAATGCCTACCTGATTGTCTTTTCCCTTGAGCAGACACTGGTGCTTTTGCTCAGGAGAGGCCTCCCACTCAATCTATAACAGAAAACGAAGAGTTGGATGGATTCGTAACACTAACTTGCATAGATTTTTGCAAAATCCCACAAATCTGACAGCAGATAAATTGAGGATAATATCTTTTTTGTTTTAATAATTCATCTATTAGGAATTTTGCCATCACAGCATCTGAATTCACAGTGTTGTTGAACAGCAGAATGTTTTTTTACTCTTATGTAATACACAAAGTTGACTTAATACATTTGTATTTACAGCAGAATACGGAGGAGTGGTTGCGAGGGAGTGTTATGCGCACACACGCGCGCGCACACACACACACACACACACACACACACACACACACACACACACACACACACACACACACACACACACACACACACACACACACCTTATGACAGACACCACTGCTGTATTAACATAATTAGCATAACAGCTTACTGTCAGGTTGTCACCAGGTAACAAACACAGCAGCATGTCAAGTGAAGAGGCTTTTCAGCTTCTATTGCTACTTAAAGGAACGTCCTGCAACGTGCCATAGTTTGAGGACTAGACTCAATCGCAGCAACACTGCTGACAATACACTTTAGGGAAATGGAAACAGTACACAATTTAAAAGTTTTAACCCTAAAGATTTCAATTCTACTTATTTAATATTAGAGTTATGTTTGAGATGAGACGTTGATCACTGGGGGCTGGGCAGCTACCTGTGAGAAATGTGATAGAGGACACTATGAAAAAATACTGTATAGAGAGGTAACTGATGAGTGCAGATACTTTTGATGGTGATTGGTGAATAAATTCCAGCCATAAATAGTATCAATTATTGGGTATGACATGAAGAAAATTGTAATGATTAGAACTTTAACATTGGTGATACGAAAGGGAAAAGGGCTAAATGTCTTCTCATAATAACCAAACCAAGGTATGGGGTCAGCTGTGCAGAAAAGACTGTTCAACCCATAAAATTTATTCGAAATACAGAAGCTCCCAGAGTTTCAAGAGATACCACAGAAGTCAGAGAAATGTGTGTAAAATGATGAATGAGACATTTAGAATTTTGCATGTGGCACAGTTTTTAAGTTTTAATTTAAAAAGTATGGTAAATACTGAGAGTATTGGGTTGAGGTAAATAGTATGCTAATTGCAGCATTAATTAGGAACAATTTCTGTTTCAATAGCTGGATGATATTAACATGAATACTGAATATGTAAAAGATACAGTAGATGGTTTTCCAGTTTTTTCTCATTAACTGTACCATGGCTTCATTTGCATTCTACAACTTTTTGAGGCAACAATTTTTCATTTTGAGGTAAATGTATTTATTCCCCTGCAGCCCCTTGTGTGTGTGTGTGTGTGTGTGTGTGTGTGCGTGCGTGTGTGCGTGCGTGCATGCGTGTGTGTGTGTGTGTGTGTAGCAACAATAACTCACAGTTACACCACAGGAGCGTCTTGCTGCATAAACTTACATATTAAAGATATGGCGGCCGAGGCACGAATACGCAGCAACACAGAAACAAAGAAACTCACAGTGAGAGCAGAGCTGGCTGAGATGTCAGAGGCATTGAGAGCGAATACAGCCCCCCGGGCCCCGACGTAGAGACGCTCGCTTTCAGCCTCCAGCAGCATGGTGCTGTAGTTGACTGCAGAGGATTGGAAACGCCTGCAGCCCTGGAGACCTGAGAGGAGAGGAGAGGGGAGGCCGTTAATGAAGGTGACCTTTTGTAGCCCCCCTGACAGCTTCTGCTACATCTGTTTATGCAAAACAGTTCCAAATGTCCTTAAAAAAAAACACATCATAGACATCCATACACCACACATGCTCTTGAGAGGCTGAATCACTGCAATGGAGGACTGGTGAAATTTGTGACGCACACATCAGCAGGAGCAAAAATGATCACAACAACCTGGTTTAACCCTCTTTTGCTGTTGCATTCGCTCAGATACAGAACGTCCACCGGTGCTATTGATTATGGTCAGCCTCTATGGGAACAACTGTGGGTTAATAAATAACCTTTTTTCAGGGAGAAGCACCCTCTTTTCACATTTCATATTCTCTCAAATACTCCAGGAATTGACTTATTTATCCTCTATAGCACCACTGGACTGATTACTGTATTGTGCACATCCAAATACATACAGGTTCTATTGTCATCTGGATTTTGATGTGATAATTTGAAAAAAAAAAAAAAATCCAGACTGATGGAAATCAGTATACAATAACATCTCTCCCACAAAGCCTTTAGATAGTCTCTGAATGTGCATAAAGCTATTGCCGTCACGGCGCAGCATACATTAACAGCTTTTTCAATCAAACCTGAGAGTATGAGACTAAAGGGAGAAAGAGAAATCTATTCGTCTTCTGTGATGGAGTTCTCGCTGTACGACTGTGGAACGTCAACACAAAGTGGTACAACGGCCTTGCTCTTTGATTATGAGGGACTCATTTTAAAATCTGAGATTCTTTTTATGGACTGCTTGGGAACGAAAACTCTGCTATTAAACTTCATTGAACTGTAGATGCACAGAAAATCTCTTTGTGTGGCTTCACAGTTGCTTATGTTCACGATTCACAATTCCATCCACAGTAATAAAATGGGAAAGCGCGACACCTCATCAACAGCTGCTTTTTGACAGCTGCTTTAGGGCAGACATTTCCTTTAAGACCATTTATCTCCTGATTTTCTCATTTTTAGTACTTAAATTGATTAGTGAGTTATTGATTTGATGATAGACAGTAAATTGTTGCTTAACCTGTTTTGATTAATTATCTAATAACTGTGGAAGCTATAAATGCCACAAATTTGTTGGTTCCAGCATCACAAACATAAGGATTTTCTGCTTTTCTCTGTTATACAGGATATATATATATATCACTGGCAAAAATGATATTACAGCTCCACCATGGACAATAAAACCCACAGGATTATGGTTATCCCACTCAGCTCTGCTGAGGAAGAAGAAGATAATGAAAAGAAGCCCAACACAACATCAGATTTCAGCGATCCACTTCTACTTAATGTGGGTTTCTGTGCTTTGTGTTTCTGCCCCATGTCCACTGTTCCAGGCTATATTGGGAAGCATCTGTTTGACAGGACAAGATACTAATGAGGTTCAGTCATACAAACACTCAGCAAAGAAATACACTGTACAATGTGCGCACACACACAGACACACTAACAAAGCATGTCATAAAGTCGCTTGCTGCAGTCATCACATTGTGGAGAGTTATGTAGTTAAGTTCTAAACATGCGATCTGTCAGGACTCTACTTAGCTATGGTAAACATGACACCGCTGTCAACACACACGCATACATCAGAGACAACCTTTAGGCATGTCATAACCACAACAATAGCTCCGCAAGACTACGTAGGTGTTGTAATAAAACAGTGTTGTGAAAAAAATAACTGCAAAGTTGTAATTTAATGTCTAATTAAAATATCCGATGTGACTAATGCTAAGCAGATTTTACTATAATCTGGGGCGGGGTGGAGTTTTGACAGCAATTAAGCCATACAAACCTGTAAGTGAGCCACTTTTTATGTCTGTTGATGAGTACAGAAGCTCAGCAGACTTTCTGCATCCCCAGCCAACCCACCTCCCCCTGAAGACTGCATGGTTATCAAGTAAGCTGTCATTAAGATTCCTATCAGCTGCTGCAAAACACAATCCACTCTGCTCACTTCAGCGGCGGCAGCGGCGGCAGTCAGTTCCCATCCCAGACTGCTCCTGGGTGAGCAGGTGTCTACTTTTTTCCACCTCATTCTCAGCAGGAGGAAGAAGAGTATTACCTCCGAGGGATTTTCGGAACAATAACTTTTCCTATGTGATTTGAGTGTCTCATTGTGGGCGATGACAATGCATTATAATGGAGACAATGCCAAAGTTTCCTCAGTGTAATCCGAGTATTAGGACAGACAATATCCTCTGTGTGGGTGAGGGCCTGACAGCTGGTGCCAGGTAACTCAAAACAACCTTGCTGAGGGAATGACGCAGCAGAGGGAGATTCATCTGGGTGATATTAACTATATATGACAATCCCATGGCACATTTTAGCCTCAGTTTACAAGATCGTGCATGAAAAGACACTTTGATTTATTCTATAGGGAAAGAAAAAGAGAAAGAGAGGCAGCAAGAGAAGCCCAGAGGATAATATTTACTGAGCAAACACTTGGAGGGACCTCAGCTGATCAGCACAGTACACAGTGTTCAGGGACACGCACACACATGCATGCACACACAGTCGCTGAATCTCCAGGCGTTGGACTGTGACGTGACAGCCTCTCACACAAATTCACACTCGAGCGTCAGGCCTGTTCACAGTTCAGATATTCTGACGTGCGAACGGGCCGAGCAGAATAAACAAAGTTTAAATTCACTGACTGGAACTGATGTCAAAGTGCGGCAAATTTAATACTTCAAAAGGTTAATGAGAAGGTATTTAGATGTTACACTAGGTTTCATTCTTTTTAACAGCCTGCTCTCTCCATGTTGCTGGCTTTTAGCCAGAATTCGTCATATTAATGACCCTTAACAACCTCCTGCAAATCTTTTCACCTAGTCTAAAGGGGAAGTGAAGTTGCAATGAGGAGAGAACACAGATGTGTTTTTCTCAAGTGCATGCATGTAAAATATCAGATCCCAACACAGGTTTGACGGCTTTGGCTTTAGGTTGCTAAGAAACACAGAGATTAAATGGATTAGTTGCAAGTTTGTATCTTTCTCAAATTAAGAAACAAAGACAAGTGGTAACGGCAAGGCAAGGGAATTAAAAGAGGGCAGTGCAACCATGAAAAGCATAAACTAATGAAGAGAAACAGAGCTTAAGTGCAAAGTTAAGCTCTGTGGACGGGAGAGGAGGGGGAGTGGATGAGAGAGTGATGGGGTGGCAGACAAGGAGATGAGTGCAGGAGAATCTGTGGGTTGCAGCATTAACTGATGAGTTACAGAAACTGAGATAAAGGTATCAGGAGAGGTTCACAGCAAGAGGAGTGACTGTGTAAAAAAAGAGATGGGTAAGGAGTGCAAGCAGGTGATGCGTTGTGAGAAAGACAACTGTTTAGAAAAGGAGTAGAGGAGAGGAGGGATGTTGCTCTACAAGTAGATCACATTAGTGAATTTGGCTGCAAGTCAAACTGGAGACATGAGAAAATTTCCTCCACACGTCTGTGAGTCAACAAATAAAGTCCAGGATCAGATAACACCACCACACACACTCTCTCTCTCTCTCTCTCTAACACACGCACACAGACACACACTCTTGCCCACACATGCACAAAGGAAAAATACCGTATACGACCATCTTGCGCCATACTACAACAGTTGTCATGGTTACGGTGCTTCTCAACTACCTACAGTGGTGTCAGTCTCCCTGGATGCTCTGCAGGGATCCCAGTGTAAGCACTTCACTCATCTGCCTCAGTCTCTGTGGCACCTCAGGCTACATGCCAACACTCACACAAGATAAATGAATGATAGTCATAGTTTATATTAAAAAAAAAAAATTCATGGTTAACAGAAGGGGCAGGTGTGAGAATTACCAGAGGCAGGCAAATAAGATTGAGAGGAGTGAAAAGAGAGTGGAGGGCAAAGAGAAAAGAGCTGTGTCAGGAGAGAGTAAGATAGTGAGGAATGAGGGGAAGCAAAGGAAGTAAAAGAAACTGAAAACTAGATAAAGAAAGAGACAGTGGCTGCAACATTACAGAGAGGGGAAGCATGTGAGGAGTTTCTTTCCAAAAGGAGATATTCTCTATATTTAAAAACCTGACAGCTTCTTCCACAAAACGATTGTTAGTTTGAATGTAAAGGACTTCATCAGTATTTGATTTCGAAGTCATCTTAAAGTGTTAAGCTACAAAACAGTTCAATGTTCAAGAGCAAGATTTGAAATTTCAACCACTTGACAGGAATGTGTTGCGCCAGAAACAGAATGTGGAGCAAAACCGTCTGTGTGTTTTTGTCCATGCTTACCGCTGCTCAACACGGTGACGCGCGGAGTCACATCCAGATCCAGGGGAGCTTTAAACGGGTAGCCGGCCGCCGCACACACACAGCAGCTCAGCAGCAGGAGCTGCAGCGCAGGGGATCGAGCTCCCTGCATCTCAGCCGGGCGTCTCATGGGACAAACACACTCCAACCAGGGTATACACACATGCAAAGGCACTCACACAAACATATTCACCTTGCGACAAGCATACACCCCTGCAAATGCACACACACACACAAACACACCCACTCGCTCTGACAAAACACTGGCAGGCAAGCAGGCAGCCTCTTTCACCGTGCTGTAGAGAGGACTGAAGAAACCTGGAAAGATAAAACACAAACACACACAAAACCAACAGTGTTAGAAGTCACGTCTACACGAGAAGAAACCCAAAATGCTGTGCATGTGGGCGCTGTAACTGAAAAAGTGACACCTCGAAAAGTCAGAGGAGAAGTTAAAAAAGAAGGGAAGCTGGTGAAGTTGAACGGCAGAGCTCAAACATTAATAAGCTGATGTGGAGGATTTCACCAGGATGACGACAGAGATACGAAAGAGACACAAAGAGACACAAAGTGCATCTGCTCAATAAAATATTGGCTGTTGTTGTAGATCAATGGCGTTCTGTGAGACTGGGCTGTCTCTCAGTGTTGTTAAGTCTGTAGTGTGTGAGCAGCAGCTGCCTAGTCTAAACACATGACTGAAAATATCATTAACCAAACAATGACTGTCAAATAGAGCTACGTGCTGATATCACGGGCAAACACTTGAGGATTTAACAGCAATGTGGAGCAATCCAGATCAATAAGGTGTGAAACCGTTTCAAACAGCAGACGTACCTGAGACGAGCAAAATCCAGAAGGAGAAAGACTGTGAAATATGATAATCTCTAAGATGTGTGTGTTGTGATGTGAATGCCAATGTTGTTCCCGCAGAACAAGACCCTCTTTTGGAGGAGTGAAGGGAGAGATGGGGAGAGGAGGGAAGAGATGTGTGTGTGTGTGTGTGTGTGTCCATCACCAGTGCACACACCAACCATATCTAAATTTATTTGGGGGAATGGTGACATCTCTCTTTCTCTTACTCTCTTTCCTTTTGTCTCTTTTTCACACACACACACACACACACACACACACACACACACACACACACACAGTCTCTCTTTAAAAACTCCACCTCTGTCTTTAAAATGCTTTCCCAGTTCCAAATGTAAACAGTCACACTCTTTAGCGCTTCCCATTATACAAAGCATGCCACTAGCGCCCTAAAGAACTGAACGTCCTGCTCGTTCCTTCTATCGCACACACACACACACACACACACACACACACACACACACACACACGATAACACAGATCTATTCACATACACATATGGATGCAAAAAAAAAAGGAGCAGGAAAGTGGAGCCATTAGCACAAGTGTTTGTGTGGCTGCACAAGTCCCAGCAGTGCCTCAGGGCTGACACCATGACAACGGCTGGCTGGAGCGCTGCGTAATGTTACGGTCATTCAGCAGCATGCAGGTGTGGATATGAGAGATACTCTGCTAACTGTGATTTAAACAGAATGTTGTGACTGTAAGATTCTCAGGCTCATAGAAGTACTGTACGTGCTGTATACACTGTGATATTATTGCATTTTACCACGCACTAGTATAATGTAAGACTTCAATTGACTAAGTTACATTTTAAACTAATTTTCAATCTTCCTTCTTTCAGCTGCTTTCCCTATAAAGTAAAATCATTAGAAAGACATGGAACCTCTAGTAGATTTGGTAAAAAATCCAGGTGAGATAGGTAAAACATCACAATGGACATTTAGTCCTCTTCATTTTTAATGAAACTGCACAGTCATGCAATTGCGAGGTAGATCATGAATACAATAAGAACAATTAGTCCCCATGAATGTCCAGGAAAGGTGAAGTGAAAACATTGAATGCTGAATTGATTAGTTGATGGACAGAAAATTCGTCATCAATTTTGATTGATTTATCATTTTTCATGGAGCCCCAGCTGCTCAAATGTGAGGTTGTGCAACTTTTCAAGGTTTTATATCGTTGTTGCTTGAGGTTGTGGACTATGGGCAAGCAAAAGCATCAACTTGCAAATAATTTTTTTTTTTTTTTTTAAATCACAAAAATAACCTGTTTATTTTTGCATTTTGATTTGAAGATTCATTGCTTTGACAGAAAGGAAGTTTGACATAGAAGTAAAGTCAACTAAATCTTCACAGTGATGAAGCTCAGGTATCTGCAAATGGATGTTTCTACGGCACTGGAGTGAATTTCAACCATTTGCCAGAAGGTTGGAAATCAACCTTAATGCTTTGGAAAATGTAAAGTGTATGTGCCTTGTAGAAAAATGTGGTACAAAACTACCTTGTGGTCTCCAGGTGTGGAGAAAAATTTACAACTGGGCCTCTAAAACCACACAGTGAAAGCAAGGCTGATTTAATGAGTTCCTGAAATGCAGCCGTTTGGGAGATATTACTTTTTCCCACTTTTTTAAGGTGGCAGAGGAGGCGCACTGAGAGGCTCTTTATAAGTCATTTATCTGACTCATGCCCACCAAATCACTCAAATGGGTTGTCAGGGTCTAAATCAGTCAGCCACAGTGGTCATGATGTGGTCTTATAATCCTGGGAGAAAGATGAGTCTATTCAGATGGAAATGTTTCACAGGAATGTGACAGAAAGAGGAGGAAAATATGAAAGAATAGAGAGAAAGCAGGGAGGTAAAATACTGTGTGAAAGTCCAGCAGCGCAGAGGGAAGAACCAGTAATTGTGACATTCCTAATTCTCTGTCATCTATAATCCATTACTCCTGACTTGCTCTGAGTACCCCGGGCCCCCTAAATGCAGAAGCTTTCAATTGTTAATTGGCCATTGAGCGCACCAGTCGAAACTTTGAGAAAATATAGAAAGAGAGATGTTGAAAATAAAATGAGGTGTACCCAGAGGAAATCAGAGTGACTCCACCACTCACCACCTAACCTTTCTAATCTGTCTTCCTCCTGATCTCGCTGCCAGCTCTCAGTCCCATGACATTCATTCAGGGAAATGGATTTTATCAGGCAATTATAAAGTGTCTATATACCTGCCTGAATAGAAGAGATTGGGGTGCTGTGGTGGTGACAGCTCCATCAACAGACAACATTTGTCCCAAAGGACTCAAAACTCTTTTTTGAGTGGGATGTGTGTGTGTGTGTGTGTGTGTAACAAATGGTAGAAAAGATTACAGTCAAAGCCATTGAGCTGTGCTTCAACTGAGAGACAGACTGCTTTAAAACACAGACACACAAAGGGAAGTAAAGTCAACTGAACTCTACTTGTTCCTAGTACTGTGCCACACTTTGTACAGTTGCTTTGTGAATGTAACACTGGACTCTGTAAACCGACCGTTAACATTACAGTTACTGAAAAAAAAACAGTGCGTGGTCAGTGCATTATTGAAATGTTGTTTTTGTGCATTACACAACTTCAACACAACTGTCAGAATCTTTCCAGTCTGCAGCCGGTTCTCTCTGGGTTTAATGACACTCCAAATGTAGAAATAGTTTAGTGTCTAAAGTCCAAAATTCATGGTGTTTGAGGATCTAGAGAGATAGATTAGACCCTCATGAATCAAATGTAAGAAAACTAGAGGCATACGATCAATTCAGGCATGTACGGAAAGGGTTTACGCCAACAACAACAACAACAAAAACCTCTGGAGTCAATTTTGTCAGTAGTCAGTAAGAACAACAGAGGAAGAATCCCTTCCAGGACAGACAGACAGGAAATAGTGGTTATATGTACAAAGTAGACAGAAATAACAACAGTTAACAATAGATGTACCCAGGGGAACACATCCCAATAGAAACCATGGTCCTTTCACTGATATTACTGACAGACTTAATGTGAGCTTCCTGTTTTCATTAAGATTTATCATAGATAATGAAAGGCTTCAGCAGAATATTGAGTTACTATAGCTAAACTAAAAGCACCTGTGAAGTCATTATAAAAGCGCCATTATAAATGACCAAAACCAACACATGATTAAGGGATGAGTTGAAAACCACTGAACCTATCCTTTGAAGAATGGGGTGAAATAAATGAGAGAACATCAAGGACTCTCTCTACATAACAGTAACATTATCTTGTGTTAAATGGCCACATCTTTGCATATCTTAGGAGCATTTCCTTCCCACTTACCATACAACAAAGTCATGAATTTTTAAAGACTAAACAGGCAGATAAGTGGGTTCACTAGGTTTACATGGGTATCTCTACAGGCCTAATGATTAGATCACAGTTAAGACCATCAGCTTGGACAGTAAATGGCTGATTACCCATCTTTCACAGATCAATCATGCTCCTCAATGCACCTTGGGCATCATCAATGTGTGTTTACTGCTCATTCACTGTAATCAGAGCAGCTCAGATGGCACCTTCCCATTTGTTTCCAATTCCAGAATACAGCTTTACTTTGCATGTTGCCCAGTTCTTCCACATCCATGTTGATATCTGACTGATTGAAAGTCACTCCACCAATGCAGCCCCAGATGACTTATAACGCAATAATGCAGTAAAGTGAAGCAGGAAGGCACATAATGGGCCACTGGGTATTTTTATTGCAGCAATTAGCCAATTTTATACATGTTTATCAGTTGGTTATATATTTCACTTGCCTGGACTGGGCTACAGAGAAACAGGTAAACAGCTCACAGGCAAATATCCCACAATAAGACTTGAATAAGGCCTTTTTTTAAAAAAAAAAAAAAAAAAAAAGGAGGAGGATATAGTAAAAATATCACAGGAAACTGTAGAACCATTACATAGGCAATTGTTGTAATGAGATTTTGGGAGATTAAAAATACAACCCGGCGACACAGAATTATACATCACAATTATCACTGTAGGACCATTGCAGAAACACCATAAAGGCACCACAGCGGAACGAAAAAATTAATATAAACTCACAACAAGTGAAGGGGTTTTTCTTGTATCTAAGCAGCGGTCGTGTAATGTTCAGTGTGTCTTACCTGAATCACGCACAAATTCCTCGAAGAGAAGGACGTGTACGTTTCCTTGAGCACAAGATAATCCAACTGGACTTTAAACGCCTGCACACACTCTCAAACACACAAACACCCACTGGATGTCACACACAGTACACTCAGCACTAGCTTCTCTCCGTCACAGGTGGCCCGCCCTCCCAAAGCGCTCCTCGCTTCTTTTCCTTCTTCTTCTTCTTCTTCTTCTTCTTTTTCTTTTTCTCTCTTCTCTCTCTCCACCAGCCTCCTCTGACTCAGGTAGTCTACACCGGTCCGTTTGTCACGAGCTCATTGTTAATTCATGATGTGACGGTTCCTCGTTCGTTGTCTCACCTTTGTTTCAGGTGTATCCTGAGCTGCAGCCCGCGCAGGGGCAGTTACAGTTATGATGAGGCCAAGTGAACAACCAAAAAGGTGCACAAATGTAACCTGTCCCGTTCAGTGCTGCAGGGTGGCGTCACACTGACACCTAGCGTGCATAGAGGGAATTACAAGCTACCAGGTATTTACCGTTGGTATTTATCATTAACTTTTTAAATAACACCACTATTAAAATGTGTATCAAAAACTGCTTAAACGGAGCTTAAAATGATAAATGTACATATTTATCACTGTGTGTAGTGCTGCTTAAGGGGCCCAGACCCCCAGGTGCAACAAAAGCCCCTGGTTCACTCCATATCATTTCACCATAATTTGATTAATCAGAAATTGGTTGGAAATATACACCAGTGAAGTAGAATATTAACTACGCCAGATTATCCATCCTCCCTCTGCCAAAATCTAGTTTTAAGATTCTAACTGTTTTATAGTTTATATTGTGACTGTTTGTCACAATAATGTTGTGTCTCTGGTTCCATCAAACTGCTTCCACTTTTTCTGTGTTTCGAGCCTCAGGCTGGTAGAATAACTCAAATGGGAGAACTGTCAGGCTGCAACCAACAATTATTTTTATTATCAATGCATCTCACAATTATTACTAAAATTGATTGATTGTTTAAACTACAAAATGTCATAAAATAGTGTAATCATTATTTCCTGAAGCCCAAGTAACATATAAAAAAAAAATCACATAAAGGATTAATCAATCACCAAAGTTGGTGACAGCCAACTTTCTGTTGATCAATTGATTCAGTTCTAGAGTACTAGTTGGTTTGTAGAGATGTATAGGGTGGGGGTTAATATGGGCCCAACAACAAATTTCTAACTTGGGGGCCCCTTAGGAGGTTAATCAAGCAAAGGTGTTTAATGTCTTTTTCTTTAGTCTCTCCTGATAAAAGAGAGAAAAAGATAAAAACATGACTCTCTAGAGTTTTGAGTGTTTGATGCAGCTTTGTAAATTCAATCAATAACTGTTTCTTTCAAACCTAAAAGTTAATTTTCAAATCTTAGACTTTTTTGATAATATGACTAAAAAAGCAACAATCAAGTTAAAGTTTGGGGACAAAGCGTCTTATGGTATTATTTACCAGGAGTTTAAACCTGCAGTAACTGCACTTTGGTGCAGCAGAAACAAGCTGTGAACAACACTGATATTATGACCTGATAAGCTGATCTGGTAAATCTGAAGCAAACATGGAAGTATCTTCTTTGGCTATAAATGCTCATATTAAGGCTAGTTGCTAACTTTTCATGTCTGTTGTTTCTGGTGCTGGACAGGTGATATACAGTTGGTGTATCCAAGCTTTTTCATGATCCACTTTCAAATTAAAATATTGATTATAGCAGCTTTAAGTTTTTGTTGATAACTTTAAATAGTCAAAGCGAAACTAAACACACCAAAAATGCAAAGTTCTTCTTTAGGTATTTAAAGAAAACTCTCAAAAACTCTAATCTGCTACATTACGATTGTGTGGGTGTGGTTTGATCAGAAAACTACCCACCAACTGTGATCAGATTTTTGATTCATATATTGCTAGATTTTGGTTGTCGAATTTAAATATAAGCCGGTGGCTAGCTCTGCTTGCTGGGCGCAATGCCTGTGCCGGGGGGGGGGGGGGGCGCCGGCGGGCCGCCATGGGTCATCTCTCATATGCTGAGGTGCCACACCATTAAGACTAGTGTGAATGTCACAACGGAAAAGTTTGTCCAAAGTCCACAAGTTTGGTGTCTACGGACTCGGCTCGTCACGCTGAGTTACATATGTCAGCCCCAGCCTTCTGAGTCGCTCCCTTCCGAAGGGCCGCCATGGGTCATCTCTCATATGCTGAGGTGCCACAGTTGATACTAACTGCAGGTTTACAGAGGACAATGGATGTTACACTTAAACTAAAGATGTCACTGTATATTTTGCTTTAGGTTTTTTCTTTATTAAAACACCTTTCAGTTGCTTGTGAAAGACTCACATTACTCAAATTCAGGCATGCAGACATAATTGCACCTGCAGCTCCTCATCTGTTTTCCCACCTCCTTACTTCCTCCACTCAAGACCCTCAGGCAAAAATATTATATTTTGATTTCTAGACTAGGTGAGATTCAGGGTGAGGCTGATCTTATATCCCAGTAAATGTCGAGGTTGTGTATGAAGGAGCTCAACACTTAACAAAGGTGCCTGTGAGGAAAACTGGCTCCATCATTCTCCACTGTTCCTATCCCCAGAGATACACAAACCCAATGAAATAACATGCCCAGAGGGCCAATACATGAGATGTGAGTCATTATTTTGTACAAGGAAACAGTAACAACATAGATCAGATCTTTATCTGTGTGCATACACCCTATGGGTCCTCACACTGTTCATGAAAACACAAAGTGTGCAGCAGAGATAAATGAGAACTCTGAATTTGATGGGATACAATGGCAGCTACCTGTCATACCACATATGACTGCTTCTCTCATTTATACAGAACTTTGAATTCATTATGAATCTACGCATCAATTATAAATGCAGTCATGTTCGGTGGGCAGTGCTGATGTTGAATTCAGCATTTTATCTCATCTCCCTCTTGCAATCCAGCAGGGGATTTGTGCAGCGTAGGGGCTGTGTCTTGAACATTCAGCTCCATTAACCCCATAGAGCTCACAAAGGGACACAACAAAAGAACTTCAGCAGAGTGAATGGAGGAAAGAGCGTCACAGCTGCTGGTTACCATGGCAACAGTGGTACCTGAAGAAGGAGTGGCGTGGTTAGTTCATATGTGGTCATACAGACATATATTGTGGTTACATCACAAGATTCAGCACTTGTGTTTCTCTCCCAGTGTGTTGTAGCTAATAATAACAAGAATCCAGGACTGGGAACTGTTTCACTCTGCCTGTTATTCTGCTACAGAGAGATCTGCAGAGACCTGTACACAGCATGCAGAAGGACTTCACACCAGTCTATTTAAATTCCAGTCATGCATTGTTTTTTTTGTTTTTTTCCTTCTTCTTCTTTCATACCACATGTATCTAGATGTAAATAAAGTGTATGTTATTTGAATAAGCTTACACAGCACAATCTAAGATGGTCATCATAGTAAACATTATACCTCTGTGGATGGAAATCTGCCAGTCCACCACTTTGGTCCAGCCTAAAATTTCCCTAAAATTTGATTTTGGTGATCCCATGCCTTTTCCTTGAGTACCACCATGAGGTTGTCATTTGTGGTTAAGATTGAAATGTCTTCACAACTTTTGGACCTATTTTCGTGAAGTCTGGTACAGATAGGCTATCCATGGTGACCAGAGGATGAATCCAAACAAAATTGGTGACATCTAGCACCGTCATCTGGTCAAAATTTTAATTTGCCCCTTTTGACCAAATACTTGCAAAACTAGTGAGATCCTCATGCGCTTGTGTTTAGTGCTAATTAGCAAATGTCATGGCGAACATGGTAAACATAAACTCAAAGTCTCACAGAGCTGCTCTCATGGCTGTAGATGCTTAGTCTTGTTCAAGCGGTAATTTATTTTGCCTGCAGAAAATGGAGCACCCCAAACATTCATGATTACAGATAAAGACAAACACATGCACAGTACTTAATACACCAATTATTTTGTTGTTTCCTTCTGAGAATGTTGTCTTCCACTCCTAATTCATACTGATGCTGTTTAAATTTTAAATTGTTTAATTTCTGTTGGGACCATGCTGTTTGTTCTCATTTGGCGACTGAGATGATTAAAAGGAAATGAAGTTATTATTCTGCAACGTTCTGTAATTATTTAGTCTCGGGACAGTGAGGTAAAATTGAAATGGGAACATTCTTTAATGTCCTGCCTACTCTCCTGCAAAGAAAGAAAACAATCTCCATTGATAATAGGTTGGTTTGAGCTGGCTTTGACAGAGGCTCAATAATATGGAGCACCCTCTCCTGCTCGTACTAATACTGAATACATAGGCCTACAAGTATACAAAAATATCCAAATAAAATAAATCATGGCTCAGTGTTTTTTTTTCTTTGTCTATAGTGATGTCTTAATGACAGTGCAGTAAAAACAAACAGCGTTACTTCACAATGTTGTTATGTATACAGAAAGGTCCTAGATGCATGACTCAGACAAGGTGAGGATTTATTATGGAAAGGTTTAATGGATTTGGAAAGGCTGGTATAGAGTTGGGTGACTGGGAATGGGGGAGTGGAGTGCGGCCAGTGTGGGTGGGGAAGGTAGGGGGAAACGTGGCTGGTGCTGACTGGACACAGCAGAGAATCAGATAGAGGAGCAGGCTGAAGAACTGGCAGGCGAGTAGTGATCCTGAACATAGGGAAAGCAGTATAGAAGCGCAAAGTCAGCAAAACAACAAGTATTGGCCTGAAACATTGACTACTACAGTAGTGGTAGTAGCAACAATGATCTGGCAACGAATGCATGGGAAAGCAGGGGTAGATATGCTGCAGCTGATGAGCTGATTCTGGAGCCAGGGGAGGGGAGCCATGCCAGTACAGTGTGGTATACAGCAGAGTGCTACTAAATAATATGCTCAGATATCTTTTTTCATGTTTCCAGATTCAAGTTTCATGTATGGCATCACCTAATCAACAAGATCCACATATAGTTGATAACTTGCTCCTACTACAGACTCCATATTCTAATTCTTGCCCTGGGAGGTGAGAGAGTCACCTTCTGTCCAGCAGAGGGCAGCAAATGTTAATGTTAAAATTAATCTGGTGTCCATTCCCTGTTATGATAGTGATAAAAAAAAAAACCGGAT